GGGGGTTAGTGCTGCCCTGGGCTGGTTCTTCTTTTGTTGCCCTTTGATCTGCTTCTGCATCCCACGCCTTCTACCCTGTTGTGTGCTGGAGTAGTTGCTTCCTTTTAACTCAACTGGTACACTAGTTAAAAAGATGTTGACTCTCAAGTCTTTCTAGGACTGAATCTGGCTGCCAAATCTACAGTATTCTCACGTGCCATTAACAATTTCCATTGCTCAGGCCACCCTCTTCCACCCTGGCTCAGAGGCATGAGCGATCGCAGGGCTGAGGTCAGGACCTTTCCATCATTTCATCCAATCCTTTAATTTCACATGTAAGAAAACTGAGGGCAGAGAGGGTAAGCATTCGCTTAACTCTGTGTCCATCTGAGAATGGGGACTCAGATCTTCAACCCCTAAACCCACACTTCTCCCCTTCTGAGCTTTTTTGTTTTGAACATATCCCATCATTTCTACCATCCTTTTTCCTTGTTCTACTCAGTTCCCCTTGGTCACCAACCCTTTATTTCCAGTTGACATAAGTCCTCATTGACTCTGAACGTTAAGTTATATTCATGCAGTCCTCTGCCCTCCTTGTTCTGCCCCATTCTGAGGTTGAAAATCTATTTCCCTTGGTCTGGCACAGGGGCTCAGGCCTATAATCCTGGCACTCTGGGAGGCTGAGATGGCTGCATTGTTTAAGCTCAGGAGTTTGACACAGCCTGAGTAAGAGTGATACCTCCACCTCTACTCAAAATAGAAAAACTAGCAGAGCAGAGTGGTACATGCCTCTAGTCCCTGCTACTTGGGAGGCTAAGGCAAAAGGATTGCTCAAGCCCCAATGTTAGAGGTTTCTGTGAGCTACAGTAATGACATTACACTCTATCCAGGGCAACAGAGTGAGATTCTGTCTCAAAAAAAAAAAAAAAAAAACCAAAACAATTTCCCTCACTATTTTCGCAACAAAGAAAGACTTAGGAAATAAGTAAAGTGATTGTCATTGTACATATAAAAGTCTTGCATAATTAAGATCTCCCTGGAATTTCCATGCCTGGGTATGGCAGAACTACTCATTTGGCCCATTATACCCCAGGCATGTGAACATTCACAGCCCAGGGCCTGGTGTGCTTAGGGAACCTCATCTACCATCCGAGCTCTGGGGAGCAAAGGCCAAGCTGTTTCTGGCTTTATCTGCTTAATAGTTTGGGTTCTGTTTTCCATCTCCACGTTGGGTCCCTGACTCAGCTTTGTCTTCTGGTTCCACTTAACCAGACTTGCTCTCTCTCTCTCTCTCAGGGTTCCCTGAACTGAGTCCTCTGTCCTGTGTGGCTAGTCTTCTCATTCTTTCAACTTCTCAATCTTTGTCTAAGCAAGCTATTATTTTTAGTGACCTAAAATGACAAATTGGTATTATTTTTCAACTATTACCTTAATTATCTTTTGGGGTGGATTTATTTTTGTGTCCTCAAATAGATCCTTAAAAACAAAGGCCATGACAAGTCTACTTCTTGGCATCATATGCAGCACAAGGCTTATTATGGACTGCAAACTGTGTCTTTTCCTGCCCCCAATTCATATGTTGAAGTTCTAACCCCCAGTGTGGCTGTATTTGGAGATGGGGCCTCTAAGTAATTAAGTTTAAACAGGGTTATAAGGGTGGGGCCCTGATCAACAGAATTAGTAACCTTAAAAGAGACACCAAGGATAGTATTTCCACCTTCCCTCTCTTCCCCTCACCCCTACCAATTCTCAGGTAAGCATCAAGAAAAGGCCATATACAAATAGGTAAGGCAGCTATTTTCAAGCCAGGAAGAGAGCCTTCACCAGAAACTGAATTGGTCAGAACCTTGATATTCTAGAACTGTGAGAAAATAAGTTTGTTATTTAAGCCACCTAGTCTATAGTCTTTTATTATGGCAGCCCGAGCTAATACATGGCTATTGATTGAAAGCACAGTCTCTACCCCGGGAGCTGAAGTAGAGTTTCAAGCTAGGAACATGTACACTGCTACTGTACGACAAGTTAATTAACTTTAGTTTTGAGTTCAAATTCCAATCTTCCTTTGTCACTGTCATTTAGTAACTCCCATCCTTTTCTCTGTAACAGCATCCTCCCAAGTAAGAACAAGGCTCCAAACCACAAGCAAAGCTCTTACCTCCTTGTCTATACTGCCTTCTATCATCCTATCAGATGCCAAGTTTCATAGAAACCTACCATCTCAAGACTTTTCATCACATCCCTTGTCACTAGACCGTAGTACCCTGCCTGGGACTCTGCCTCTTACTTATTCTTATCTCTAGTCTTTATCTAGCATGCAGAAGAGGAAATGGAGGCTAGAGGTTAAGAAACAGGCGCAAGGTTGCACAACTGACAAATAATACAACTAGGGTTCAAATCCAGTTCAGTTTTGCCCCCAATCCAGAACACTTTCCACTAGACCTGTTTTGTGTTCTCTCTACTTTGCTAGAACTTATAGTGCTTTGTTTTGTAACTCTGGCCATTTTTAAAATTTCCTTCTGCCCATCATCAGACTGTAAAGCTCTCTGAGGGTAGGCTGCCTTCATCTCCCTGATATCCAGGGCAATGGCTAAGCCGCTGCCTTATACTAAGTAGGCACTTCAAGAATAGGTACTGATTTGAAAGTGGGACATAACTGTCACAATGGTGAATATGAACTAGGAGATTAGGAGAGAGATTTAGAGAAATTCTATAGGAGACAGAAATGATGATTCTGAGTTGAGTTTGAGGTGATGGAAGTTGGATATGGAAAAGAAGGGGGTCATCTGCGGTGGACCTCAGTGTCTTGGCTTTAGAGTTGAACCTGTGGAAAAGGCTGCCTTGGCCTGATGTTTCTGCGTCAGGTCTAGCTGTGCACACACAGCAAGTTACTTAACTTCTTTGGATACTGGTTTCCTAACATGTGAAGTGGAAAAAAAAGAGAGTACCTTTTTGGGTTAATATGAAGACTAATGAGATAATACATGTGAAGGACTCAGCACATTGTGTTATCTATTATTAAGTATAAAAACTAAAATGTTATTACAATAGTATGGTTTGAAAGTTCAAATGTGACCTAGTCTAGTTCTCAGAGTAAATTTAAAGAACCAATAAATTCATAGGGACACTTGGGTTACTACGATTTCCCTCATCAATGGATACCAGGAGGCTCTGAACACATTTTAAACCTTACAAGGGATTTTCATAGTCAAAAACACCAGAAACTAAACTGTAGGGAAAGAGGACAGTATTAAACGCATTCTGGGTAGAGGAGACTAACTTGGCTGAATCAGACACTTGTATTTTGTGATAGGCTAACCTGGTGAAAATCCCTGCTCCACTTCCAGGCCTTGCTTTTAAGGAACCTGTGCACATTCTTTATCTTCCAGCACTTTTGATTTTCTTACCTAAAATGAGAATATCATTACTCCAGGGGTGTAAATAGAATATCATACTTAAAGCACTCAGCACAATGGGTGCCTGTGGTAGGGTAGGGACACAATAGGTGCATAAGAATTGGCAGATGATGATGAAGATGGTGATGTTTGTGAAGCCCACTCATGAAGGAAGGACCTCGGATTTTCATCGCAGTGAGGCAGCGTTCTCAACGTGGGATCCCTATGACAGCAACGTTAGCTTCATCCAGAATCTGTTAGATACCCACATTCTCAGGCCCTTTCCAGACCCCAGAATCAGAAACTCTGGAGGTGGGGCCCTCAGCAATCGGTTCTTTGAAAAAACCTCCTGGATTCTGACGCACTCCCCTTTTAAGAACAACTGCTGTAAGGTAATGGAGAGCCACTGAACGCTTTTGGATGGTGGAGGATATAAATGATTGTTGATTAAACAGGATTAAATTGCCTAACTACTAATTAGTTTCTGGGGTTACTGGAAGAAGCCTGTTGATCCTCTTAGATCTCCAGGTACAAAACTCGGGTCAGTACTTAGGGCTCCAAACTCACTGTTCACCCATTGAGCGCTGCCAGGAACGCGGCACCAGGCAACTACGGGAGCTATTTTGGACTTGGCCAGGGAGCCAAGAGATGCTCAGCAGCGAGTCCCGAGACTACAGTCTTGTCACGGATTTAGCCTGGAAAAGAGGAGAAAGGAAAAGAAAACCAGACAGGTAAACCGGAAACGAGGGTCTTAAGGGTATTCTCTCCGGAGGTGGCAGCGGTGGGGGATGGGAGGAGAGGCCCCTCCCCCGCTCGGGTACACCCGGGTCCCTTCTCCTTAGAGCCCGGGCGCGACGGGCCGGCGGGGCGGGACACACCCTCTCCCCGGGAGACGCGAGAGTCCATCTGCCTCTTTGCATTTGGGTCCAGGTCAAATTTTCTCTCCTATATTGTCCCTGAGAGCTGGGGGCGCTTTCTTACCCTGAGCACCTCCCCGGGGAAATCCCAGCCCGTTTCATCCCAGCTCCTGCCACCTCCGAGAGCGCCGAGCGGGGTCGGGCGCCGAGACCGCGCCCCGGGCGCCGGGCGTCGAGTCGGGCCGCTGGCCGCGCTGCCCGCGGCCAGGCCATTGTTCGGGCCCCACCCCTGATGAATATTCACGCCGCGCGGGCGCCTCGCCCCGCGCCCTCCCCGGCGGGGCTCCGGGGTGTGAGTGCGTTTCCGCCCGTTTTTCCTGCCGGAGAAGGAAAGGGGGAGCTGTTTTCTCTCTCCTCAGAATATATTTTTGGTGTCCCGTTTCTCCTCCTCCCGCGCCGCCGCCGCCCCCTCCC